CAAACAGAATCCAAGTATGCAAAGCTACCTCTATAAAAAGGCCCAACCTTTTGAACTTCATTAGAAGAACAAAAAGGTTTGAGACAGAGTTGGAGGTACAATAGACAACCATTGTTAGTATTGTCTTTGGGATTGGCAAAAAGGACCAATAGACCCACTTGCTGGACTAAGCTCTCCCACCAGTACCATTAACCTCCTCTCCTTTAGTCACTCGATGGCACAAATGACTAATTATTTTTTCTGTATGTACAAACTAAATTTTCAACAATTTCTTTTTCATCGATATTGGTAGGAATACCTTTGATAACACCATATTTAACTGTGTACTGTTTTAGAATGAAGGCTTTGAGGTTATTTGTTTTAATAAGGCTAGTAGTTATAAATCGATTGGCGTACTCATACATTCTAAAATATTCTTCCTCTTAACAGAAATTACTTCTAAATTACTTAGACCTAGTAACTTAGCTATTTTCATATCATGAAGAGATTCTAATTTATTTTTGTCATCTTTTTCGACTATCACTACATAAGGGGCTCTAAAATGCTTAAGGAATTCAGGAGAGTGTTCAAATTGTTTTGAGCTATTTGGTTGTTGCATGATTTTGTTATCTAATAAGATTTCATTATTACTTATAATTTAAGTGGGGTCAGAGGTGAGGGGAGGGGTTTATCTGCAGAGTGATCCAGACCCATGTTTAGAGCTAAATAAACCCAAAATGTATATATAAATTAACAAAGAGTGGCTATATAATTAGATATAGTAGTATAAATGATGAGTAATAAAAATATATTGGAAAGGATGGCCCTAGAAATCCTATGAGCAGTAGAGGATTACGCGATGTGTACTCCACAGCTGTCTAACACTCACTGCGATTCATTATTACATTTTCTGATATCTCAATATTATTCCCTTTAACAATTCTTCCTGTTTTCATGTGAACTATTGCACATTTCTTTATTCCTAGATGATTTTTATCATTATTGAACGTTCTTAATGTCTTCAGAAGAGCTCTCATTTCTAGCATAAAGCTTGAGGTCATATATGTAGAACAAATGAGAGAGCTTCATTTCAGAGTTAAGTAGGTATTCTTTTTCTCTATCTCTCAATATTTTGCTAAGTGGATTAAACATCAAACAAAACTGGTTGTGCCAAAGAATGGTTTTCATTTAAATTTCCCACATTATGGCAATTGGTGGAGGCAGATCTAAAAGATAACACTTAAGCTTTGAGAGAGACTGGTTCTCTCGAAGCCACTACTTGACTAGCATTCAACCAGCAAGTACCGACGGCGGAGGGCCCTCCAAGGTAAAAAAAGATGTAGGCTGGCGTATAGAGGGTAAGCTATTTTTTTGCACTATCATTAACCTACCAATCCCTTAAGATACAGTCCACTGCTTAAAAACTAGAATGTTACCATAAAATTTAGAATGTTGCCTTATTGAAACTCATGAGAGTTATTTTGCCATAATTGGAAAAGTTGCCTAACCATTTGGTCCACCGGACGATTAAATAGCTTTTTTTGCCATATTAGGGATGTTTTGCTGTACATAAAAGAGGATAATTTGATGGTAGGTTATGAGAGGTTATAAAAGATCGTCTATTTCCAGGCTGATATTCGTATTACGCCTATTGGTTTCTTTTAAATTAACTTACATCGTTTGTTACTTTGTTGCGTATTTGGGGGCGCCAGAGTAATAAAAATTATTTTTTTGTGTGTGTAAAAATTATATTTTCGGTCTAATATTCGTATTTAGCCTAATAACAGGTTTTTCAAAAATATACTTTAACCAATAGATCTAATGCTTTCTTTACATATCAGGGGAAGTCAAGCAATTTCCAGATGAGTTTCCAGGAATATTCAGGAAAGAACAAATAGTGACTAGCTGGAATTAGGTGACTTGTTGATACTTATGTTAATCCTTGCCTGCTTTGCTGAACTTTAAAATTGTTTTGAATAAAGGACCTGTTTTGCTGAACTTTGAATTTATTTTGGAGAAAAGGCCTGCACCACTGAACATTAAAATTTAATTTTTGAATAAAATTGGGTTTTGCCTTAAGCAATTGCCTGTTTGCCTATTGATTATGCATCTTTCAAAGAACTTCGCAATAGTACCCAATCCACAATCTTACTAGCTAAAGCCACCTACTTCCATAATGCCCTATCCATCCAATGCTCCTGACTCCAAATCCAAATGGAAAATACTCCGTAATCTATCCCAACCAGATATCAATAATCTCAGTTCCTTCTCTGTGACTCCAGATGATCTTAATGACCACTTCTTATCCTTCTCCTCTAATCCTTCTCCCTTGCTCACTTATGATATTGAGCATCACAATTTCAATTCAGAAGACTTTTTTTATCCCATGTTTCCTACAATGAACTACTTTCTGCTATCCTAAAATCTCATACCAATGGTTATGTCCATGATAATATTCCGGTAAAACCACTTCCTGTCCTTATTCCTGTACTTTACCATATCTTTCATTGCAAAACTCCATATTCCCATCTTCCTGGAAAACCGCCCTAGTCCGACCTTTAAATAAAACTTCAAATCCTTCTTCACCTCATGACTTCCGTCCCATTTCTCTCCTTTCCAATCTTTCAAAACCGCTGGAACGCCTCGTTCAAACCCAACTTTCCAAATTCCTAGAAGAACATTCCCTAATCAACCCTCTCCAATCTGGCTTTCTCCTGGTTACTCAACCCAATCTGCCCTCCTAAAAATAACCCATGACCTCCAAAACTCCATTGAACACCAAAAACTTACTATCCTAATTCTCCTAGATTTCTCCAAAGCTTTTGACACACTTGACCACAGCATCCTCCTTACTAAACTGCAACATTTTCCTTTATCCAACAGTGTCCTGCGATGGTTCAAATCCTTCCTTTAAAATAGATCCCAGTATGTAGTCGTCCAAGGTCTCCCTCTAAGACACTTCCCCTCTCCTGCAGCGTCCCTCAGGGTTCCTCCCTATCTCCTACTCTGTTTGCTATTTACATTAATGACCTTCCTCTCCTGATCCATCACTCCCAATACCATATCTATGCAGATGATTTCCAAATATACCTGTCCTTCCCTCCTTCTGACCTATTAGCAGCCACAAAAAAACTTCAAGAGGACTTAAACATAATCTGTGACTGGGCAGATGTGAATGATGGGCAGTGAACAAGTTGAAGTTGAATGCCGGGAAGACCAAGGAAATTTTGATAGGCTCCAGTCACCTCCTTAAAACTCTTCCTAACATACCGACCTTGTTCCTACACGATCATCCCATCAAATTCTATCCCACCATTAAGAACCTTCGAATAACCTTTGATCAAACCCTTTCCTGGAAACACCATGTATCTTATATTTCTAGCCGTGCCTTTTCTATTTTAAAACGACTAAATTATCTCCGGCACCTATTTCATTTGAAACCCGTAAACTCCTAATTACTTCCTTAGTATTTCCTCACTTTGACTATTGCTGTACAGTATACGGGGGCGTTTCGGGCGATCTCGAGGCGTTTGATAAATTGCATTGTACGATTCATCTTCCGGATCCCAAGGGACGCATCTATTTCCCGTCATTATGATGAGCTGAAATGGCTTTATCCTTCCTACCGATGTAAGTATTTCCTAGCATCCTTCCTCTTCCAAGTCATCCAATTCCGTCGTCCTTCATACATCTCTGAGCTCCTTCAATTCAAATCCTCTTTCCACTCCCACAAAACCCGTTCCCACTCTTCAGATTTGTATACAAGATCCCACCAAACATCCTCATCCCTATGGAATTCTATCCCATCTTACATCCGTCACTCCAATACCCTCCCCACCTTCAAATCCCGCCTGTTCAATTACCTCTTATCCATTCAGCTCTCATAAAATTGTAAATATGTATATAAATAATTAGTATGTTTTAAATACTTTATTTAATATTTTTTGTTAAATGAAGATTGAAGGTAAATATATTCTTTTCTTTTATTTATTCATTATATGAATCAGTTTATTTTGTAATTATTCTCTGAGGCTCCAAAGCCCACATTTTTATCTCTGTACATTATTCTAAAAGGACTTGTCCCAGAATAAATACAGCGTTATTATTATTATTATTAATTTAATTCTGATGCTCCAATCAGTTTCAAGCAAAAACAAAAAAATTCAAGAAACTCAAAGTCACTGAAGTGACTAAGGGTTTCCTCCAATTCTTCGATTCATGGTAAGAGGTTTGTTACACAGCACTGTTTCGTTTAATGAAAATATCTATAAAAAATGGGTGCGTTTTGATTTTCCTCCATTTCTTGTATGTTAAACTTTGAGGAAATAATGAATTTTTTTTTTCTAATGTGAGAATCCGTCTTTTTGAGAAAAACAATTTTTAGTCACATGGGCTTAATTTAATTATAAAGAAAATTTAGTACATTGGAATGTATAAAGGTTATACGAATTCTGTCCAAAAACGAAATGCTGGAAAATTGATATTTTTCTATTTACTTCTTTATTCAGATATGCATAAACATAGTTTAATATTTCATGAAGGAGTGAAATACTTTCATAATTGGAAAAAAGAAATGAATAGGAATAAGAATAAGAAATATGAATCTTATTTCTCAAAACATTTTTTTTTTGTTACGATAAACCTTAGTTAATTCTTCACAAAATCAAATGATTGTGCCATCTATTCTACTTCCGGTACAGAAAATAACCACATCTCCCAGAAAAATCAAGAAAAAAGTAATGAAGAAAAAGAAACTATATTTGCACATAACTCAAAGGTATATATTTTATAGTTGATTATATCCATGATAATTTGAAAGGTTCCTAAATTCCTGACAAAACAAAAAAAAATCATCCAAATAGGAAGCGTATTTCTAAAGGTTGCTATCCCAAATTGGTTCTAACCATGGTTGCAAACATTTTTATTATAATAGTTTATTACGTTAAACATAATTATTAAATCAATGATTAATAAAAAAAATAGGATAAACTAACAAAAATAACAAATTAGGATTTACTGACTGGATATCCTTTCTTGATAGTCTTCCTATTGTTACCATCATAATCCACTCTATCAATGTAATCAAGGTAGGTATCAACCCAATAGACATGCTGAAGAGGAAAATCCACTGTCAGACCATAAGGATAAACTATCTTTTGATCAACAAGGGTCTTTTGGTCAGTTCCATCTAAGTTGGCCCTCTCAAGGCGTGGCTTACTCATACCCCATTTAGTGTAGAACATGTACCTAGGAAAAAATATTAAACATATTTCATATCTAAACAATACTACATGATAAACATTTTGTATCAGCAAAGTTCAGAATTGTATTCTCAACCAAACTTAAAAAAAATAAGACAAAACTATTATGAACATCGAATCATTTGTTACTTACTTGATTTATCGAAAAAAAAAATTGCAGGAAATGGATTAACAAATAAAAGAAAAATGACCTATTTTAGTGAATCAAAAGTCGAGCATCATAAATGATAGTAACTGATGACCAAATTTGTTGCCTAACGAATGCAGTAAAAATTTATAGAATACTGAAAATCAGAATCAAAGATTTTTTATTCATTTATAAATACAACATATTTATAAATGGCCTGAAAGATATTAATGAACTTATTGAATATACCCAACAAATATAATTTATATAAAACATTTGAACTATTAATCTAAATTTTTAAACTATTTATTCTAAATCATTAAACTATTTATTATAAATCTAACATTCATGCAATATTTTTTTCAACTATTCACTGCTCTGATCTTAATAAGATATTCTGCTTTAATTACTGATAGTATTTAAACCACGTTGTTTTATTAAGGCATTATTTTTCTTAATTGTGGATATTACCATAATAAGGTGACTTTCATTGCTGGTTACTAAGGATTTGTAATAGTGGACTGTATTTATGGCAAGCTAAAAAATATGTGGTTGTAAATGAACGATAGCTCTTTTAATGTGAAATGGTATACATATTATTGCTTATGTATGTTCAAATATATCACAATATGGTTAGTTTGTTAATTAATTCTGTATTGAATTATTAAAATTTATATTATAATGGTATTGGTGGGCAATTTTTAATTGGTGTATATTACTTGCAGTTTTGACTGGTTCATGTTCTTCCTTCTCTCCAATTCCCCTTGTTGGATGGTAAAGACAATCTACTCAACCATCTTCTGGTATTTTAGTCAATAAAAAAAAAAAATGATCTTCAGATTAATGGTGCTGGTAAGCTTGTCTTGAACTTATCTTGGACTATATCAAGACCCTTGTTCTTCAGGAGGCTATTTCCATCTGCTGCCCTGGCTTGCCCAGATATGACAGCAGGGTTGCTGGGCTTTCTTACATTTATTGAAATAAAATTGGAAAATCTGTTGTGTTCCCTAAACACAACTTTTTTAAAAAGTGGAAAGACTGAATTATTAATATTTGAAATTTTATATACCATACACCGGGTTATTTTGTGACTAAAGCGAGACTAAATAACCTATTCGGCAGCAATTGTAAATATCCTTCTGTTTTGTTAAGGGTCTTGGTTATTTACACTCGTGAATTTTAATTTTAAAACAAACCCCAGAACTGGATATAGACTTTTTGAGGTATTTACTGTTGTTGGGAATTCAGGAACCTAATGCTTTTGTGACAAGAATTAATATATATATATATATATATATATATATATATATATATATATATATATATATATATATATATAAATAGAAAAATCATCTTTATTCTGGGACTAGGTCCCTTTAGAATAACAGTATTGTTCATATAAATTAACCATAAATCTGGCCAAATGACTTATTACAATGAATAATAACAAAATACTAGTAATAAATTAAGCATTAATTAAGCTCTTAGGATAAATTAACGAAAACAGTTGGGTAATAGAGGTTCAGTACTACAATATTGGAGCTAAAACAATAGCATAATAATCACTGAATGTAATTAGAAAGGAACGCAAAATCAATTTTATAGGCAAAGCATTGTAGTGATGGAATATAAAAATTAAAAAAATAACAATTATTGTTAATATGTAATGAAATGAAAAAATAATTTTATTCTGGGACTACTGTCCCCTAAGAATAATAACAGAGTTACAAATTTATGTATCTTAGTCTGACATAGTAAAAATACACACTAATTTATTGTTAATTGTTATTTCAATTGTGCAATGGATTGAAATTAAACATTGTATAGATGCAAGTAATTTTACATGTTAGGGGAAGTTTGAATGTGGAGTAGGTGTTGGAACAGGAGTTGTTTGAAGGAATTTGTGGATGAGGATTGACGCATGGAGGTAGGAAGTGAGTTCCATAAGGAAGCAGCACGAATGACGAAGGATTTGCTGAAGGAGGAAGTTTTATGGGAGGGAATATATAAGTCTATAGATTGAGACCTAGTACTGAGAGAGTGGATAGAGGAGCGCAGAGTAAGGAGTTCCAGGATGTAGGGAGGGTTTTTGGTTCTAAAGACTTGGAAAAAGAAAACGTCAAGAAGTAGGAAAAAGCCACTTCAACTCGGTGTACCATAGTGAAACATGTGAACGCCTGGGGATCCCGAAAATGTATCTTATGAAACAATTCATGAGTCTTTTTAGTCTCATTTCCAGCATGGCAGATAGCCCTCCATACATCAAGCAGCCGTAGTCGAAGTGGGGGAATACAAGGGAGGTTACAAGGAGCTGTCTGGTTTTTCGGGTAATCTGGGATGTAAGGAAAGAAATTGTAAAAAAAAAAAAGATATACATATGTTCCCTAAGATATTTAAGTGATTATGCATAAAGATTAGGAGAAGAAAAAATAAAATAAAGTATACATATATATACACATAGCGAGAAGTGTGTTGAAGATAATTAGAAAATAAAATACATTTCACCGAAATACAATTTCAGGAATAAAAAAATTTTAAATTAAGAAAAACAAATTTTATCTACTCACAATGCTTAGTGAGTGGTGATGAAAATTCACGTTCAACACAGAATAAATCAAATCAATAAAAAATAAGAGAAAAAAAATAATGTCTAAAGAAAATTAAAGCCTTATAACATAGTATGGATTTAACCAGCGTCTGATTGGATTGTGAAGAGGAATTGGAATAAAAGGGTTTTAAAGGTGGATAAGGATGATGCATGGTGGATTTTTAGTGGGATGGAATTCCAGAATGCAGTGGAACGGACAACAAAGGAATGTTTAAATGATGCAGATCTGTGGAAAGGGGTTAATCCTCGGAGACGCTCCCGACGAATAAAAGGGTTTTAAAGGTGGATAAGGATGATGCATGGTGGATTTTTAGTGGGATGGAATTCCAGAATGCAGTGGAACGGACAACAAAGGAATGTTTAAATGATGCAGATCTGTGGAAAGGGGTTAATCCTCGGAGACGCTCCCATACACTGTACAGCAATAGTCCAAGTGAGCAAATATTAAGGAAGTAGTAAGGAAGCTTATACTCCTACACATCTACAATTTTTTCCTCCAAAATTTCATTTTTCCTAAAGTCTGGAAAAAGTTATTGTCCGGCCATGGAACAAAGTTCATTAGCTTCCGAATATAGAACCATTTCCATTTTATCCAAGCTTCGAAAAAGATTAGTTCACTTTCAGTTGAATAATCAGTCTGGCTTCTGCTGTCAATCAGTGTGCGTCTCCTCTGTGTATTTTACTATTTTTTAACCTTATCTTGTACTCAGGAATTTCAGTTTGTGAATAATATATTTTTAACTCAGTGGGGTGTTCACAGCATCTATAGATAATACTATATCATATAATTTACTGTCGTATTTAAACAAGAGGCAAGGTATTAGTTCGAGCGCTGATAAAGAAATAACGTGTTAAATTCCCCCACTACTGCTATCGCTTCCCCCAGTCTCCACACTACTGCTCCATAGCTTTCAGTTCTACTTTACATCTCACTATGGCACCATATAAGCAATATTGCTTATTTGTACAAATACGTGAACTCAATCGTATTCATCTTTAAATTCATATATCTGCTTCAAGATCATATATTTACTACAGTGTCTTTATTTTAATATTAAGGTTAGACAACTTTGTAAATTTATTTATTATTAATTCTCATTTAATTATTCATAATCGCCAGATAATTGTCATTTTGTTTTTCATTATAGTTATTCTGAGGAGTCTAAATGTTCCAGAATAAACTTTACTTTCTTTAAAAAAAAAAAAAAAAACTTTCCCGAGCAAAACTGTCTCCTCAATCTTTTACAATCCGGTGTTCGTTCCCAATTATCCACCCAATCTGCCTTGTTAAAGATCCATAGATGAACAGGTTAAGATACAGAAAATCTCTATCCTGGTCCTTTTCATCTTCTCAAAAACTTTTGATTCTGTCAATCATAATATCCTCCTTTCCAAATTAAAAAGCATGCCCATATCGAGTAGTGTTCTAAAATGGTTCCTCTCCTTTTTATCTCACTGCTCCCAGACAGTTGTTATTCCTAACAAATCTCCTTTCTCCTCCCTTCAATTATCATGAGGTGTTCCTCAGGGCTTCTCACTCTCCCCGATCCTTTTTTCCATTTATATTAGTCACCTTCCTGACACTATTCATCACTCCCACTATCACTTATATGCAGACAATTTCCAAATTTATCTATCGTTCCAACATTCTGAGATGCCTGAGGCTACCCGAAAACTGCAAGAGGATATAAACTGTATCCACAAATGGTCAGAAAAAAATTAACTGAAGTTGAACGCAGATAAAACTAAGGCTATCCTCATCGTTTCCAGGTACCTCATTAGTTCCTTTCTTTTCTCTCATCTACTTTATCTCAATAACCGGTCCAACATGGGAGTAATCTTTGATCAGAACCTCTCTTGGAATAACCACATTTCCCCGATTACTCGTAAATCCATAACTATCCTTCAACAATTCCTACGATTCCATTATCGTGTTTCTATTTAAAAAAAAAAAAAAAAACCAGACAGCTCCTTATAATATTCCTTGTTTTCTCCCATTTTAACTACAGTTACTTGGTGTATGGAAGGCTGTCCACAAGAGTGAAGGTGAGACCGAAGAGACTCATGAATTACTTCATAAGATTCATCTTTGAGATTCCCAGGTGTTCCCATGTTTCCTACTTGTACATCGAGTTGAAGTGGCTCTATCCTGCTTCTTGGTTTTAGTCCTCAGAACCAAAAATCCTTCCTAGGGACAAAATACAATATTGTCAAACTGAAGTCAGATATGTTTGCTCAGGTATTTAGTACA